AGTATGTAAATTAGGTACCATAAGTCTAATACAGCACTGTAATTTTATACATTTCTTGTGAAAGAAACATTTCTTATTCAACGGCCATAAAAATTATTTCTATTAATGATGTCTCCAAAGTTCAACGAATTTTTCGCAGAAAAATAACATCAGAAATCGCGGCCGCCATTTGGTGCGCTGCTCCGCGACGAAAACAAGCTTAAGCAATGGCGACATCAAACGGTGCACACTCGGTAAGTAATCCGGCAATTTTTTTTTATAGCATAGTTTATACAGATTATTCCCAAAAAATTATACATGTTTTGGAAATGTTAAGTCGAATTAGTCTAGAATCAATTAATTTTATGAAAGAAAACCTTTCAAACAGCCGTAGTCCCTAAACTTCACACGTGTCGGGCTGCGATTGGCTTGTGTATTTAAGGATTCCTACAACGCGAAATTCGTATAACGAGAAACGTATCTACCGCGTTATAGGGGGGGTCTACTGTATATGATCACCTTTTATAAATCACAAAGGGGTTAAGTCTTTGGTATTTTAGCCATGTATGAGGTAATTAAAGCAGACTTCCTCTTCTCTACAGTTTTTTGAAGGTCTTCAGCTTGCTTTCTCTGAGTTTCTTCTTCTTTCCATATATTTTGAAATTCTATCAATGTGCTTGAGCTAATTCAACTTCCTAAAAATTTCAGTTTTTCAATGCTTTCTTGAGCCTATCAGTTGCCAATTCTAACATTTTCCCAGCACTAACATGCTTTTTCTCCTCTTCTTTTCTGATTTATTTTAACTTTTGCTCATCTTTTTTCAGGTTTTTCTGCTCTTTTTCAATTTGGGCTTGCAATTTTGACAGTTCAATCTATTTTTCTTTTTCCTTCCTCTGCTGCTTCTCATCTTCATTTCACTTCTCATCAAGGTTGATCTGATAATATGTATGTGCTAGCCAAGCTAAAGAAAGCAAATCTTTTGTGATTGGTACCAAAATTGTATTGTTCTGTACAATTTCAGAGTATCTTTGACAATCATTATGGAATTCACAGTTCTTTCTGACAAGCAAGATTGATCACTTGTAAAAACTTGCTAGATATAGAGAAATTCCTCTCAATGTCTGCATTTCTATGTGCTAATGCTAAAGATGCCTTGACTACCTTGAAAACATTTGAAAACTTCAAGTCACCAGAAAGAAAATGTTTTGAAATATAATGACTCTAATAATTATCAATGACCACTCCCTCTCTTCTCTGAGACTCACAATATTCTTCAAGTTGTAGAAGCTTCTATTCATCAGCTAGAATATCTGTGTTTATGTCAAAGAGCAGAGCATTGGTAATTTTAATTATATCATTACAACTTCCTTTAGATTTTCTTTGTTGAAAGTAATAAAAATTCCAAAGTAAATGTCCAGATAATGGTGCATTTTCAAATATATAGTGGTAAGTTGCAAGATAATGCTCTTGTACATTTTGCAACTAATTTTGCATTCTTAATTCCGACTTATTTTGTTCACTCAGGTCTCCTAGTTCTCCTTGAGCATCACTCTCACAAACATCATCTTTTAGTGGAAGAAAATTTTCTTTACTCAATATGTCCTGCATTATAGTTCCAGATTTGAGGGATGAGACTTTGCATACACTCTCCAGTAAGGCACATAAAATAAATTTTATTTCATTATAATTTAAATGGATTAATGGCTCTTCTTTCTGAAATGTTCCTGTGAAATGTGTAAATACTTGTACACTAGATCAGATAAAATACAATTCTGCTTTTACACTAGACCATTTTAAAAGTATGGAAGCTCTTTGATAGGAAGGCGTCATGAGACCTGGCTTTTTCTAAGAATGTGAAAAAGTAATATAAAAAAGCTTTCTATTGCTGAAGAAGGCACCTGGCTGCATTCTCAATGGTCAACCACAATGTTAAACAATGCTTGATGAAATGCAACTTTGGAAAATTAAATTTAACCTGAATTTCAGAAAAATCTTCCCATCTTTCTGGCCAATCACTGAAAAAATAGTGTATCAGATTAGATCACACCCATCTTCACCAAACTTTGAAAGACCTTTTTGAAATGCATTGTGCAAAATGTGCACATTGCAAAATCCAATATCTACAAGTTTCTTCTTATGAAGTGCAGCCACCTCTTTATTCCTGAGCTGACAAATCTTATTTATGATAGATTCATCACTTCCCAGCATCATTGATGTAGGAAGTGATGATTGAATGAGCTTATGTATTGACAAATTTGAATTTTCAAGTGTAAAAATGAGCTTTTTGAATATTTCATCTCTTGTAGCATGACCCATAAAAAAATATCTCAAGACAATGACTTACAACTTTGTTCTCTTTGTCAGACCAATATCATATACATTCTTACAGTTCTTTTGATCCAGCAGCATTTGTGGTCTTGTCATACCACGGGATATAATAAGTATCACCAATGTCCTCTTGCAATTGCTTTTTGAAATAGGGAGCCAAGACATCTGTCACAATATAGTGAAATTTCTTTTGGCTCATTGAACAAATTTCAGGAACTGATCCTGGAATCATTTTGCAGAACATATCAAAAATTCCTTTACATGAAGCTGCTGAAAAGTTACATGCAATTGCTTTCAAAGTCCAAATCAGTTCAGCAGTTGATTTCGACACTCATACATCATACAATGTAATTGCAGAAGCTGTTGTTGATAAGATGGATGATTTAGAATATTTTTCTTTATCATGTGCAGTAAATGATAAACTACCAACATCAGCAGATCCAGATGCGAGGCATAATTGTTGCTTTGATAATACTGTACAACAAGACTCTTGATGTTTGCATGTATTGGCATACGAGCATGCAAGCCTGGAACTCTTACATCTGATAGACACCACTACAAAACAGATTTCACAGTATATTTCATCTTTGCTGTATTTCTCTGCCCAACTTTGTTTTGAATTACTTTACTTACTAAGTTTAGGAAACAAGTATTATAGAAAGACAACATTAAGGCAATATGAAATGACAACACACAATAGTGGAGTCTGTGGATGTGATAATTCCTAGAAAATAATGGTGTAAATAAAACCAATTGCATTTTGAGATCTACTAACCAACACTTGTCCTGGTAAATCATTAATTTTATTTCAAAATACTCATAAGTATGGCCATAAATGTATTTCAAGCTTTCCTTTCCTCTTCAGTATGGCTGCCAGTTTTTTCTGACAAATGTCTAAAATATTTGCTATCTATGTTACATTGTTCAATTTCAATTATTATTCCTTCAATCCTGGTTTGACAGTATAAAAAAAACTTGATTTTCTACACAATACTCCAACATAGAAAATGATTGGTTAAATTTTTTTGTATGTCATATTAATTAAGTTAAATGAAAATTTCATATATCTAATAGAGAAATCATATCTAATCTTGACATGTCAACAATTTTTATACACTTTAACATTTGACAATTTTGTTGTTGTATGGGATAAGGCAAAACACAAGGGCAATCTGCCAAGGAGCACATCCTTTGGCAGATTGCTCTTGTGCACCTCTTGAGAGAACTTTCTGTGGGAAACTTGTCTCCTGTTTAGGTGTTAGACATGCAAAAAAAGCTTAGAAAACTTCATGCAGCTAGCCCATTGGTTAAATGTGTAACCAGGACCAGTGTTCAATGGTTTCATCCACTTGGCCATAAATGGATTCTTGATAATCTTGATCAAGTTCATAGCACAAATAGTAAATTTGCTCTTACCTCATTTAATGCCAAACTTGCTGAAGTATGCATAACTGTAAAAATAAAAACAGTTTATTAGAAAATTTCATTTTTTTTATTTATAAAAATTTTAATTTTCTGCAAATCATTTTGGCAAAACTATTTTTTCTTTAAATTTAATAATTTATATATTAATATTTCAATTAATTATATAATTCTATAGAATTATTTGAAATTTAATTTAAATTTCATCTGCATAGTATTAAAAACTGTGAAAACAAACTAAAAATTGTCCAAGTTATTTCTCTACTTCATATGAAAGTTAAAATTTCAGATTAATGAAACCAAAATTTCTATAATTTTTCTAAATATTTTTGATTAGTTATTAAAAATTGTTCAAAGATCTGTACTATTAACATTGAAAAAAATTAGCAAAAAGAAAAAAAAATTGAAGAATAAAATAAATGATAAAATCGTTATCAAACTGTCACTTTCAAGCATGAAGTTGGAAATATTCTATGAAGAGGATTATCCAGTTATCCAAAATCTATACTGTTTCTATGAATTTTTATTCTTCAAATGTTATTCTTTTAAGTTTTATTCTTCAAAGTACAGATGTTATGCTACTTACAAACATTCAATTTATGAACTTTCAGACTTACAACTTTAAATTTTCACTGATTCTGAAGTTTTCTAGCCACTCATGAAGTGACATTGAAGTAATGCCATTTTTTTTTTGCTATTGTTTGCAATTTTTATAAACTTTTATGATTAATGTTTCAAAAATGCATCCAAAATGTAATAGTAAATCTAACAGTGGAGAGAAATGCAAAAAGTGTTACTCTATTATCATGGAAACTAAATTGGATGTTATAAAATATGTACATTAGATTAAAAAAAAAACCATGTTTGAAACAGCTGCTACTAAGCAGTAGCAAGCAGATAAACAAGTGTAATGTATTCTATTAACTACATTGAAGAATCAAAATAACAATAAATGGTTATTCTGTATACAAATATACTATATAGGTTACTTTTTGACTTATGACAAAAACTGTATATAGGGGAACATTTGTATAAAATTGGAAATAAGTAATCCTATGTAACTCCGTAATATAACTAATCTCTCATTGTCTTTCTGTTTGAACTGGAGACCACGAAAAACAAAATACCAGCAAACTGACTAACTGCTTTCAGACTTCATCCATCCTCAGAGATTTTATCACTCAAAAAATGATTTTTTCAAAGTTCCATTCAAACATATCTCATTTAGTCAGTTTGATGTTTTTCATGGATTCCAGTTCAAACATAAAGGTAATGAGAGATTAATAAGTAATCCATTTATTCTTTCAGAGCCATTTATTGTCTTGTTCAATTCATTGCTAACAATATATAATACTATTCTATCAACTGGTCAAATTAAGATGTTACAGATATCTATATTCAGATTTAATATTTATCATGCTTTCTTTAACTTTAATATTTTACTTAAGCAAAATACATTCCAGGGATCTTGCTTACATTTCACCTAATACTACATATAACACAACATTATTATTCATAAATTTGTATCTAAAAATGTTTAATTCATTTTATAATCATTGATTTTGCTTCTACATTTAATTTTATTTCTAAAACACGTGATTAATATGTATATCATCATTTTTCTTCCAATGGTAGCTTCATTTTTTTTGCTTATCTTTTTTCTTTGAGATAATTTTTATAAAATTCTTGATTTTTTAAACAATGAAATTTGTGTTTACTTATAAAAAGATAAATTATAGACATTCTACTTATTGATAAACTTAGACGTATACAGAATGTCCCAAAAGTTCATAGACTTTTTAAAAAATTATATAAAATCAACAAATTGATGTATTACAGTTGAGTTTTCATCAAAAGGCATTGTCAAGGGGCAGATTTCTTTTTGGCGGAAGAAAAAATTTTAGTTCAAATTTTCATTGGGGGTGCTGTACTGATTGCATCATGAAAATATGCAAACTGAAACCTTTTAAAAAGATGTGCAGCTGTATCATCACTAGTTTTTGCAAATCAAGTTATTGCATGTGTTAAACTCGATGTTGATGAATAAGGACTACAGAAGCCATATCAAAGTTTTGAACAAAAGAAATGAAACAAAGTAAAAGCCCAACTGCATGCTTAGAAATGCAAATGAATAAATGCTATACCATCTTCACTTCTTTCTTCCATACTGTTCTGATTTGTGATATGATTTGTCTTTCCTTAATCTTGAGAGCAGAGTTAGACAGATGGAAGATAAGATTAGATATGGAAATCTTAGGGACAGGAGAACTCGATTAACTATATACGAACTTCTGATGCAAACTGAAAGTCATGTTATTTCAATTCAAAAATTTTCCCCTGAAAGGTTTTAGATAGACGACTGGTACAATTCTATTGTTAAAGGAAAAGTATGATGTACAGGAGCAAGTCAC